CCCTCCACCACTGCCACGGGAGCTGGAGCTCCCCTCAAACACCTTCTTTGGCACCCCCAAGGAGCTGCCRGTGTCCACCGCGTGTGAGGAACCCAAACCCCACCCTGCTGCCTTCAGCGAGACTCCCCTGCCCAAGTTGCACCCCCGGCCACCCCCAGCCACTGGGGCTGGATTTGGGGTGGAGGGGGCTGGTGGGATGSCTGTTACTGGAGGGCTGCCTGCAGTTGGGGGGCTGCCCACTCCTGCGGGGCTGCCTGGTGCCGGGGGKCTGCCGGGGGGGCTGCTGGATGACCGCTCCTGCTCGGTGCTGCAGATGGCCAAGACACTGAGTGAGGTGGACTACGGGGGTGGGAAGGGGAGGGTGGTCCCCCCMCAACCACTGCTGGCCAAGGGGGGGCTGCCTCCCCGCTGCCTGCACCCCGACTATGGCCGCCCCCTTGCCTTCCCTCCTCACTCCATCCAGGAGAGCATCCAGGAGGATCTGGCTGAGGAGGTGGGTGATGCAGAGTGGGTGGGGGTCAGGATGCTGARGCTCCTCAGCACCTCAACCGGGGCTCCCTTTGTGGGGCCCCATGGTGCTGAGGCTTTTGGGGTGCAGGTGCTGGGTCGTGGCGTGGGTGCAGTGCCYGGTGTGGGCGAGTGGCTGCAGGCACTGGGGCTGGAGCGGTACGAGGAGGGGCTGGTGCGCAATGGCTGGGATGACCTGGAGTTCCTCAGGTGAGTAGCCCCCCAAAACGGTGTGGAGGGACCCCCACCTACTCCCACCACCAGCCTGACCAGCTCCGTGGGTCCATGTCCTCCTCAGGGGGTCACAGTGATACCTGGGTTCTGGGGAGGCCCTGGGGTGCTGCCATTGATGGTCCCCACTGTTCCTGGGGTGTTCTCACTGTCCCTGGGGGGTGCCTACTGAGGGTTTTTGCTTCCTCTGGGGGTCCCTGCTGCCCCTGGAGGTCCCTGCTGCCCCCAAAGATTCTATGCTGCCCTGGGGGGGGCCCATTGCTCCCAGGGGTGCCTTCTGCCCCTGGGTGTCCCTCCTGCYCTCAAGGTGCCCTTTGCCTCTGGGGATCCCCACTGCCCCCAAGGGTGACAGAACGCCACAGCAAGGACAGGATGGAGGCTGCTAGGCACACAGCAACCTGAGGGGGGGTTCTAACGTCCTCAGCTGGGGACCCCCCAAGGCTGGGGTACCCCTCAGGGGCAGAGAGCCCCACATTTTTGCCTCMTTCCCAGTGACATCACGGAGGAGGACCTGGAGGAGGCTGGAGTGCTGGACCCTGGCCACAAACGCGTCCTTTTGGAGAGCCTCCAGCTCCGCAAGTAACAGCCACYGCACATCCAGCATCCCGTGCATCCCAAGGCCCAGCATCCCAGATTTTGCGGCTGCACATCCTGCATCCTGTGGCCCAGCATCCCAAATCCTGCAGCCATGCATCCCAGATCTTGCAGTCACGTGTCCTGCGGCCCAGCATCCGGCATCCCACAGATGCACATCCTGGATCCCGTGGCTGTGCGTTCTGCATCCTTCTGCCGCGCATCCCGGACCCCGTGGCCCAGCATCCTGCATCCTGCAGCTGAGCATCCCAGATCCTGTGGCCCTGTGTCTGCAGCCCAATGTCCTGCAGCCATGTATCCTGGGTCCCATGGATGTGCRTTCCAGATCCTGCAGCTGAGGATCGTTCATCCCATAGTCCCATATCCTGCATCCATTCATCCCACCATCACCAGCAGCCAGTGGGGGCCCCAGGACACCCACAGCCCACCCCCCACCCTGGATGTGGGGTAATGGGGTGGGAAGGAGGAGTAGGGGGACACCTGGTCAGATAATTTCACATGAGGGTCCCTATGAGGTGCCCTCACATTTAAGTTATTTTTTATTTATTGGGAGAAGGGATAGGGRAAAGGTTGTCTGGGGGAAATCCTTGGGACCCCTACGGCCCCTCACAGCTAGGAGGAGGAGGAGGGGGCTCTGAGCAAAGTCGTGTCTCAACCCAAGTGCCTTCATGATGCCTAGCCAGGAATGGGATGGGATGGGATGGGATGGGATGGGATGGGATGGGATGGGATGGGATGGGATGGGATGGGATGGGATGGG